TGCACTACTATCACGTGTTGTTGTGCACTGTTTGTTGTTGTAACGTTCTTACCCGCCCCGACTGCAACATATGTGAAAAAGAGCTTCATAGCTCATCGAATTCCTCCAGTATAAATCAATATTCTGAATCTGAAAACAAGAACGGCTTAAGACTCAGAGAACGTGTGGCTTTCCGGAGTGAATAATATGGCGTTAAAATTGAAACCTTCCTACCATGGTTTAACGCTGGGGTCGGCAAACTGCGGCACGGGAGCCGCGCGCGGTGCGTTCAAGGAACTGCGTCCTGACAGTTATTTATTCAGGACCACCACCGTCTCGTGTTCACAACGTGCATTGTGCCTCTTGATATCGTGATTTTTGTTTGACCAAAATTCGAAAAAAATGCCTCTTCTTGTTATTTCCATTGCCGACCCCTTGTTTAACGTTTGTATTATGCGTGAGCTCTGTCTGTAATATAATTGGCAACCCGGGGTAAGGAGGGGGGTAGGGGGCATGATAACTCTCGTAACGACGAATCCAATATGCGACTCGCTCGAGACAAATCCAGCCGCGTTGATCTCAGTTTTTTTATGAATGTCCAAAAGTTGGGAGACTCACACCAGGCCAAACGTGGAAGTAGATTATCTGCAACTCTGCCCCAGACAGCTCTCATCCGCTGGCATCGCTCTGCTCAATAAACTCTCCGACGCACACGCATGATATTTCCTTATCGCATCAGCATCATCATCATCATCATTCTCACAGCGATCGTTGTCCTTCTACGTGAGAGACCGTGGAATGATGGTTTCCCGCTGGCGGCCGTGGTTTTGCCCAGCGAGAGGATCTTGTTTGAAAACGCGACGCAATTTTGACTTTCTCGCGGCTGACCATCTAACTTTAAAAGAGGCTAAATTCACAACCGTGCGCGCTGGCATCGCTACTTTATAAAAAAAACAACAAGCACCAATACGCACGCTCACTCAATCACTCGCTCGTTAGCTCCGGTAAGCACGCGAGGAGATGGGTAAACACTCCGAAGCCACGGCTCCACTCTCGATTAGCGCCCTCGCTGGAGCATGCCCGGGGCCCATTACGGGACTAGCCCCTCCTGACTTGACGGATGGGGTTAGCGGATTCACGGGGCTCTCCCGTCACCGCTCACCGCTCACCGCCCGCGCGTGACCGCAAAGTGAAACCGGTGCCTTGTTGAGAAAGCAAATGGATCGGCTGAGATGCTCTCTGCGAGATGTCACCGCCGTTGTCTGTATAAGAAATACGGTTGATAGTTGTTATTTTTTAATCCGGGCCACTCGCAGCAACCCGTCACCCTGCAGATTGCCCCCAGGTCGGTAATCGAGAGCTGGCTGCGCTGTGCGAGTGTCTCGATAACGAATACATCGAAGGTGTCTTAGAAGTCGAGACACTCGCACATCGAAGATGTCTTAGAAATCGATTCGGTAAAACGCACGAAAGATTTATAGATATATATACCGAGGACGAGATACGGACACTTACGATGGGAAAAAAGGGATGTTGTTAAAACAGCGAGCTAAACAATTGTCAATGCAAGAGCGATCACCTGTGTACCGAATTCTCCGGATTGTAAGACGCATTTTCACCCCCCCCCCCCCCCCCCCCCCCCCCCCCCCCCCCCCCACTGTGTTTAAAGGCCAAGGTTTGTGCGGTGCGTCTTATAATCAGGTAGCCGTGTGCGTGTGTATGGGGAGCGGTAGCGCAGTGGTCAGCGCGCTGTGCTACGGACCCACGTACCCGAGTTCGATTCCCGCTCAAGGCCAATACCAGTCGTGATTGTCTGAACCGGTGCTGGACCTTCCCTAGGTCGACTCAGCCTCAAATGGGTGCCTGGTGCGGTGTGTAAACATCGCTACTAGAGGGGGGGAGGGAAGGTGGCCGGGCGCGTGGTGCTGGCCACCTACCCCCTCGTGTGCCGGTCCGGCCTTCATAGGTGCTCGCTAACAGCACTTGCCCCAACACTCTATCACAGGCTACACGGGGTGTCTTTACCTTTGCGTGGGAGTGATTTGTGTGACTCCAATGGCACCGGGCACCCTTTCCGGTGCGTCTCATGATGCGGAGAATTTCCGTGATCGCGTCGGTGCTGCCGGCTCGACTATTCGCTGATAAACCTCGGTTAATAATTACGTGAAACTTTTTTTTTGGTTGTTTAAAAACAACAACAACAAATTGCGGTTTGAGAATGTTCGTTCAGAATGCCACGTGTTATATAAAGCAAAAAAAACACAATACACAATCCGTCGTTTATAGAAGGAATTTGACGAATGGGGGGGGGGGAGTGGTGGTGGAGAAAATGTAAAGTAAAAAATGTCACAACCAAACACGCGCAAGGTAACTAGTATTGAGCCTAAATATTATTAACGGGCACAACATCGTGGCGATCACTTAACGGACCCTGTAGACACACGCGTACACACACACGCGTACACACACACACACACGCGTACACACACACACACACGCGTACACACACACACGCGCACACACACACACGCGTACACACACACGCGCGTACACACACACACGCGTACACACACGCGCGGACACACACACACGCGTACACACACGCGGGTACACACACACACGCGGACACACACACACGCGTACACACACACGCGCGGACACACGCAAAAATGACAAAGATCCCCCGTGCAGCCTGAACAGACTGTTGGGGCAAGTGCTGTTGGCGAGCACCTATGAAGGCCGGAACGGCGCACAAGGAGGTGGGTGGCCAGCACCACGCCCGACCGTCTTTGTATCCCTAGTGACGATGTTTACACACCGCACTAGGTACTCATTAGAGGCCGAGTCGACCTAGGGGAGGCCCAGGACCGCTTCAGATAATCGTCACTGGTTGTTGGTGGCCGTGAGCGGGAATCGAACTCGGGTCACCGGGTTCGTAGCGCGGCGCGCCAAACGCTACACCGCCGCTCCCCCAACACACACACGCACACACACGCACACACACATGCAGACACACACATGCAGACACACACACGCACACACACACATGCACACACACACACACACCATCAAAACACGCAACTCGCACAACCCTCGTATCAGGCAACGCATGCGTGCATTGCAAGCTGTTTCCTTGCGGCGGTGAAGATGTTTTCTTAATATATTAATGTTAGTCCACTCAGCCGCAATTGGCCAACTGTGTGTGGGGGGGGGGGGGATTTTGAAAAAAGCAGATGTCTGAAATAACGGGGTTATCTGAGTTCCAGTCCTAAATTTTTAACTGCTCGGTTGCATTTACGTGGTGAGTTACCATCAAAAACGCTGTACACTGTCAGTCTTTAAGTCGTCTGGAAACCCCCATCAGAGACCAGTCAATCTATTGTCTAGAGACCCCATCAGATGCCGGTCCAGTCTACTGTCTACAGACCCCATCAGATGCCGGTCAGTCTATTGTCTAGAGACCCCATCAGAGATCGGTCAGTCTATTGTCTTGAGACCCCATCAGAGATCGGTCAGTCTATTGTCTAGAAACCCCATCAGAGATCGGTCAGTCAGTCTATTGTCTAGAAACCCCATCAGAGACCGTTTTGTTAATTTAATTATCTTGAGACTCTATTATCTAGAGACCAAGTTGAACAATGCTACAAATATTATTCCAGATTCATACATAGCCTAGTATCGCAAATGCATTAACAAAGATCCCCCTTGTAAGCCTAAACATAACGTTGAGGCAAGTTCTGTTCGCGAGCTCCTATTACGTCTGGATGGGCACACAAGAGGGTAGTGTGGGCTGCATCATGCCTGGCCGCCTTTGTCTCCACAGTGCTGATACTTTACGCACCACACCAAGTGCCCATTTATGTCCCAGTTGACCTAGGAGATGTCCAATCGGGCCACGGGTATGACTCGCCACTTACATTAACCCTTGGTCAGTAACTGAACCGAAGCCGTTGGGTCCGAAGCACAGTGCGCTAACCGGTGGACCACCACTTCCCGTACACATCAAGAAAGACAAAGGTCCCCCGTGTGCCTTCAATCAGCCTGTGGGTCAAGTGCCCTTAGCGAGCACCCAATATCAGTGGCAATTATCTGTACCAGTCCCGAACCTGGGTCGACTTAGCTATAAATGAGCAACTGACGTGGTGCGCAAACATCAGCACTGGGAATACAAAGGCGGCCGGGCATGCGGGCTGGCCGAAACCACCCACCACCCCCCCATGTTTTGTTCACCCTGCCGGTGTTAATAGGCGCTCGCTAACTCACACAGGCGGTGACGGAGCGGCGCTCTGCACGATGAGCCCCGGTGAACCGGGAGTTTTGCGTGCGATTTTTAAACTCTCTCGGCCCACGGCTAGCATCGGCGGCGAGAGATTTCAGAACTTGCCCCTTGCCCCCCCCCCATTCATGAACTGACCAGCCCAGTGAAGTAGAGTTCAACAATCCGACGGCATAAGCGTTGGTCGGGGTGGGGAGGGTTGGAGAGGCGCCTTTGGTCCATTGGTAGATTAGAAATGGATGGATTATTTTTTTTTAAAGTACATACACACATTATTGACTTGAAGCTTTCGTGACTGCAGGAATTCATATTCGAGGGGTCTTTCGGTAAAGTCACGTAGATAGGTTCAAAGAATAATAAAATTAACAAAAAAAGAACGACGTTTCGATCGCAACGCAAGCGACGGTCGCTGGCCACCCAGCCCCTTGCTGTTAGCGAGGGGGTGGGTGGCCAGCACCACGCCCGGCCGCCTTTGTCTCTCCAGCAGCGATGTTTACACACAGCACCAGGTGTGTGTAAACCGGGACCGGTTCAGATAATCGTCACCGGTGTTGGTGGCCACGAGCGTGAATTGAACTCGGTTCGTCGGGTTTCGTAGCACAGCGTAGCGCTAACCGCTGCACTACCGCTCCCCCGAAGACAAAGGTCCCCCGTGTAGCCTTGGACATACTGCTGGGGCAAGTGCTGTTCACGAGCACCTATGAAGGCCGGCACGGCACACGAGAGGGTGGGTGGCAAACATCACACACATACCCACACACACACAAAAGACAAAGATTCCCCCCCCCCCCCCCCGTATAGCCTTGACAGACTGTTGGGGCAAGTGCAGCTGCTGCTGTGGATGTCCGGTCTAGAGCAGCGGCACGATGCAGTCCGTCCCAGGGTACTCGGGCAGGTTCAGCTCCATCTTCTTGTGAATGTCCAGCGGGAGGAAGCGCCCTCCCAGGAAGTGGAGGCGCCCTGCGAAGCGCTCCGCGCACCGCTTGGGAGCGCCCAGCGACACGAGAACCTCGGGCTGCAGCTGCTGCTGCTGCTGTTGTTGTTGCTGCTGCTGCTGTGCTCCAGCGGACCCAGCGGTCCCAGTCGCCCCTGGGCACGCCGATCCGTTGCCGCACACGTCCGGGTCCCAGCCTGGGTCGGGAGCCACGGCGGGGGGGGGGGGGGGGAAGGGCGCGGCACGATTTGTGTATTTGTTTATTTGTGTCTTTGTTTATTTGTGTCTTTGTTTATTTGTGTATTTGTTTATTTGTGTATTTGTTTATTTGTGTCTTTGTCTATTTGTGTCTTTGTCTATTTGTGTCTTTGTCTATTTGTGTCTTTGTCTATTTGTGTCTTTGTCTATTTGTGTCTTTGTCTATTTGTGTATTTGTCAATTTGTGTCTTTGTTTATTTGTGTATTTGTTTATTTGTGTATTTGTTTATTTGTGTCTTTGTCTATTTGTGTATTTGTCAATTTGTGTCTTTGTTTATTTGTTTATTTGTGTCTTTGTCTATTTGTGTCTTTGTTTATTTGTGTCTTTGTCTATTTGTCTATTTGTGTATTTGTTTGTGTCCTTCACTTTCGTCACCTCGCTCACTTCTCATCCCTCTCGCTACGCCCCCCCCCCTCACCCACCCACCCTCACCTCCCACTCCCTCCTCCATTTCCACCCTCTCCTACACCCATCTACCACCCCCCCTCCTCCCCAACCTTCCATCCACCCCCACCTCTACCTCCCACCCCCTCCTCCACCCCCCCCCACCACAGCCCCACCTCCCCCCACCAGCACCCCCCTCCTACCCCCTCTCCAGCACCCCCCCCCCCCCCATGCTTTCCGCGAGTGTCGAGTTCTTAGTCCTTCCCCCGCACCTCCGGTTAGCACGGCCGGCTACGTGCGGTGCGAAAGAAGTTCAAAGTACGGCACGTGCCGACGCACTCCGATTGTGGCCGGAGGAGGCGGTGTGTGAGGTGGTGGGGAAGATGGGGGGGGTGATGGGGGTGGGGCGATAGGGTGGGGGGTTGGGGAGGGGGGGTGATGGGGGCGGGGTGAGTGCTCACCAGATGGCACGTCCACGCTAGCGACGGGCGCCTTCACTTGGCGCAGCGTGTTCATGATGCTCGAGAAGGGCTCACGCACCTCGCCACGCAGCCCCGTGCCGAACACCGCGTCCACCACGAAGCAGTAGGCGTCGTTGATCAGCTGCACCTGCACGGGTGAGGAGGGTGAGGAGGGCTGTGACGAGCGAGGAGACCACGAGGGGAAGTGTACGCCAGTGTGTGTGTGTGTGTTGAACTTCTTGTGCGCCGTACGTAGCCAGCCGTGCTAATGGGAGGTGCGGGTGGGGACAGCGGCGAGTGTCGCTACTAGCTCAGACTGAAATCTAAACTGTGTTGTTGTTGTTATTCACATTCTTTCGTGTTGCAGTCGATTACGTCGTGAGAATTTTGATTTAAAGCTTTCGTGACTGCAGTAATTCATTTTCTTGGTGCTTTCGGTAAAGTTACGTTGAAGAGAAACAATTAAATAATAAAATATATTGTGTTGTATTTTATTATTTAATTCTTTTCCTTCTACGTGACTTTACCGAAAGAACTAAGAATATGAATCCCTGCAGTCACGAAAGCTTTAAATAAAACTGTGTTGTTGTTGTTGTTTTTGCCAGGCAAGGCCGAGCTGTGTAGCTTCTCTTTCAGAAACGACCATGGCCACAAACGATAGCTCAACGAAGTGGCTCATCACCATCACGTGGAAATATACAGCAGGCAAACGCTCTAAACGCGCGATGTTGATTCCAAACGTGGAGGGAAAACCCGGAGGACCCGAAGGAACATCCACGCGACCACGGAGGAGAGAAAGAGACACTCAAGATTCCAAATATACAGCAGGCATCGCCAGGGTCGGGATCAAATCCACGAGCTCCTGTATAGCTGGCGAGGTAGTTAACATCTCCTAGCCACCGTGATGATGATCTCGTAGCCACCGCCAGGGGCGCGCAACTCAACACGGATCGTCACCTCGGTGGGGAGGTACGAGAGGAAGGGGATGTCGAGCTTCTCGCACTGCGTGGTGAGCGCCTGGCTCAGCGGCTTCACGGAGCGCTTCACGTAGAACACAGTCGGCTCGTACCCCTGCACGCGCGGCACCGCCAACATAGCCAACATCATCATCATCACCGTCATCATCATCATCATCACCGTCATCATCACCGTCATCATTATCATCACCGTCATCATTATCATCATCATCACCGTCATCATTATCATCACCGTCATCATTATCATCACCGTCATCATTATCATAATCATCACCGTCATCATCATCACCGTCATCATTATCACCGTCATCATCATAATCACCGTCACCATCACCATCATCCTCACCGTCATCATTATCACCATCATCATCATCACCGTCATCATCATCATCACCGTCATCATCATCACCGTCATCATCATAATCACCGTCATCATCATCACCGTCATCACATGTCACCACGTGTTTCCACTTTCCTCCGTCTCGTGCCAGCATGCTGACGGAGTGCGCCACGTCTCTCTGGCACCAATCTCTTACGTCGTCATCGTCGTCATCATCATCAGGCCATTCTCTGTTAGCTCCTCCTCTCTTTCCGATTCCTTCCATTCCATCCTATCATCATCAGCAGCAGCAGCACCAATATCATGAGCGAAATCAGCAACAGCAGCAGTAGCAGCAGCAGCTTGAGGAGCTGTAGAAGCTGCATCACGATGGTGTTTATCATCATCAGCCGCAGCAGGTGCCGGTCATCATCATCATCGTCATCATCGTCGTCATCGTGAGCCGCAGCACGCGAGCTCTCCTTCAGCACACAGATCTCTCGTCCAAGGCCGCGCTCTCACGCGGCACTCACAAACATCTTGAGGTGGCGTGCGCAGGCCAGCCCGCACGCTCCGTTGTAGCCCGGCCCGCAGATCACCAAGCCCGTGGGTTGCTTGCGGGGCAGCGAGGCCAGCGGGAAAGCCTGTGGGGGGCCAGGGGGGGGGGGGCACAGTGACAAAGACAAAGTTCCCCCGCGTAGCCTGTAACAGCCTGTTGGGGGCAGAACTATCGATTTAATATCCCACCCCTCCTCGCCTCCACCACCGCCCCTCGAGCTACTGTGGCTGCGCGCGATATCCCCCACCCCCCCACCCCCACCACCCACCACGTGCGCTCTGCGTTCATCACCACACGGCGTGGCTTGATGTCCCCAGCGTTTCAGAGCGCACCCCGTGACTCCGCGCGCGCGCGCGGAACTCTCCGTGTCGTCATGACGTCACAAAGCCCGGGAGGCATTTCCGTCGTCGGGAGTCGTAGCCCGAACCCTGACATCCCCAAAGACAAAGATCCCCCGTGTAGCCTTAACAGTCTGTTGGGGTAAGTGCTGTTAGCGAGTAGCACCTGACTGACACACGCGCACTGACACACACACACAACACACAACCCCCCCCCCCCCTCTTTTAGATAATTGGCTGAGTCGGGTGATTAAACCCGGACGCCAGACGTCTGGGATTCTCATTGAGTCATTGCGACGAGGCCGGGCGGGGGTGGAGGCGGGGGAGGGGGGTGACCGAGAAGGGGAGAGAGACGACACCCTATGGTGGGCTTTATTGTGTAAAATCCCACATTTCCATGACGGAAGCAAGTCTGTCCGTAGCGGCGTATCGCTTGAGAGAGAGAGATAGATGGACAGACGCGCGCGCACACACACACACTACCCATCATCGTCATCAGCACCACGACCGCCACCAGCCATGATCAGTCCACTGATGGATGAAGGTCTCATAGTGTGCGTGAGTTGGTGGAGACAACTCGCAAAGTCTGCGAGTGCCGTGGAGGGAAGGCGGTTTTTAGAAGCGGCACTCAAACAGTCGCCTGATGAAGCTGGTTGTGATCACCGGCGAAACGTCGTACTCGAATTCTAAATGCTGTGGGTTTACTCTCCAACACACACCGGCGTGCCGTACTAGTAACGAATTTGCATTTGCAATGCTAAATTATATGCTAATTCCTTTGTCAAGGCGCTTTGTTCCTCTCACACAGCTTAAAGGCCGTGATCTGAACGTGGCTCTTTCACTCCAGCGCTGTCCTACCAGACAGTCTCGTCCCTTCACCTGATGAAGGCCGCTTGTGTTGTGGCCGAAACGTCGTGAGAATATTATTGTGTTATTTTATCAATTTATTATTTTATTCTCATTCTACGTGGTGGTGACTTTACCGAAAGAACCAAAGAAGTTGCATTGTTCTGTTGGTGATAAACCTTACACATTGGCTGTGTCGGGTGGTGGACTGGGGGGTTGGTCAGCGACACGTTTATATTCATGCGACTTTACCCAAAAATCTCGATTATGGATATTGGTCGCGAAATCCTCCGTGTTACTATATATATGTGTGTGTGTGTTGAATTTCTTTCCCACCGTACGAAGCCAGCGGCGCTAATCGGAGGTGCGTGGAAAAGACAACAAATGGAACACACAAGAAGCGGCTCTACAGAAATGAGTGTTCAATCTCGGTGATGATTTAAAAGTCGCATCGCTTCAGTGGCTTCCTAATATCGCAAGGAAGAGCGTTCCAGACGGCCGCAGAAGCGCAGTTTAAAGGGCGACTATGCGTTGTGTATGTGTCTACGTGTCGGCCTTCATCGGGCGCTACTCGCTAAACAGCACTTGCCCTAACAGGCTATACGGGAGGACCTTTGTCTACGTGTGTATGTTGAACTTCTTTCGCACCGTACCTAGCCAAACCGCGCCAATCGGAGGCGGCGGTGGAAGGACAACAACAACAACCAAGCAGACGCAGCATGTGTCACGCACGTGTCGCTTTGACAACACCATCCGCACAACTCACGCGTCTGCAACTATTGAATCGCGCGGCAATGCAAGGCGCGTTCGCTTTGAGCTTTGCTTCATGTTTTTTGGTTTCGGAGTTGATGGGCCAAAGAAAGGCGACAATGGCAGTGGAAATAAAAATAAAAATAATCAAGCCTCCGCGCCGTCTTCATTATACATCCGCGCCGTGGCCACACTACTCGAGTGGCGATGAATGAGACTCACCTGGACGATGCCACCCCTACTCCGCCCCCGCATCGGCGTGGTGGCGTTCAAACGGACTCGCCATCCGACGCGCTCTTGCGCGTCGTGGCCCACTTTGAATGCAGCACGAGGGAAGAGGCGGTTCGCCAACCCTTTGTGAGCCGAGTTCAACTCCGTTGGCCGTGTGAAGAGAAATCTCTCTGTATTCGAGGATGTAATCAATGGGATTCTCTTCCGCCCGCCTCCGAGACGGACAAAAACTCGATTAACTATTTTACAAGGTAAGGTCCACTGAGCGACGTAGCTCTTTTTCAGAAGCCACACAAATGATAGCTAAGCGAAAGTTAGCTTATCGCGTGGGAAATGTATAGCAGCCAAATGCTCTAATCGCGTAAATGCCGACAGGAAAAACCTGAAGGGCCCGGAGAAAAATCCACGTGACCACGGGGATATGCAGGAGAACGTGGGTTCGATCCCGGCCCTTGACGCCTGCTGTATATTTTGAGTTTGCGTGTCTCTCTCTCATCATCATCACGGTGGCTAGGCGATGTTAACTACCTCGCCTGGTATACAGGAGGACGTGGGTTCGATCCCGACCCTGACGCCTGCTGCTGTATATTTTGAGTTTGCGTGTCTCTCTCTCATCATCATCACGGTGGCTAGGATATGTTAACTACCTCGCCTGGTATACAGGAGGACGTGGGTTCGATCCCGACCCTGACGCCTGCTGCTGTATATTTTGAGTTTGCGTGTCTCTCTCTCATCATCATCACGGTGGCTAGGAGATGTTAACTACCTCGCCTGGTATACAGGAGGTCGTGGGTTCGATCCGGACCCTTGACACATGCTGCTGTATATTTGGAGCTTGCGAGTTTCTCTCCCCGTGGTCGCGTGGATTTTTTCTCCAGGTCCTCCACGTTTAGAATCGACACCACGCGTTTCGAGTGTTTGGATGCCATACATTTCCACCGCGACGATTCGCCACTTCATCGAGCTGTCTATGTAATAGCCGGGTCGCTTCTGACAAACCAGCTGTGTAGCTCAGTGGGGCCCCTTACGTGGTAAAATAAAAATAAAATTGTTTATAGTTTAAATAATTCACGTAATCATTTTTTTTGTGTGGCATACAAACAAATGGGCCCCCTTATTGATCTCATTCTTCTTCAAAAGGTTATTTGTGCACAGGTGGAAGCAGTGTGTGTGTGTGCTCACGGCACCTTGCCCCTGGGGTCTACAAGGCTAAACGGGGGGTCTTTATCTTTTGTTTGCCGGTGCTCGTGGGGAGCGGTGGCACGGCGGTTAGCGCACTGCGCTACAAGCCTGGCAAAAAATAAAAACAGTACAATTCCCACTCACGAACGATAAAGGGTGGCGAAAAAAATTGAACCGGTCCTGGGCCTCCCCCTAGATCGACTCAGCCTTAAGTGAGTACCCGGTGTAAACATCGCCACTAGGGAGACAAAAGCGGCCCGGTGTGGTGCTGGCCATCCACCGCATTCATAGGTGGTCGCTAACAGCACTTGCCCCACAAGTCGGTTAAGGCTATATGGGGATCTTTGTCTTTGTTATGCGGGGTGGTGGTAGTGGTGGTGGGGGCTCGGGGTAATGGATTAGGTTGAGGGGGGGGGTATGAGCTTCCCCCCACCCCCCCCCCCCCAAATATCCGCCCCTCCTTCCCTCCAAACACAAATCAATTAGTGACATTTATTTTTGGGGGTCAAAAAAAAAAGTAAGTGTGCATTTACAACGCTGCATTTGAGTGCGAGCGTGAAGCTCCCCTTCCCTCCGTCCCTCGACCTTAATTCGAGTTTCTCGCGGGTTCGCGAAAGGCGCGGGCGATCGTCTCCTCCTAAAGTCTCCCCGAGAGGCCGCTGCCATTAGCGCGAAACGAGAAAAAAACAAACGGACGAGCTGCGAATGTGTCGCAGGCTGCCCCTCGCAGAGACGACATTGAGCGCCGCGGTTGTGCAACTTCCACTGCCGTCTTAACGAAGACTCGAACGCTGGTGGATGGTGGGGAGGGAGGGTGGGGGGGGGTGAGGAATCCGATGAGCTATAAAGCTCTTTTTTCCACAGATGTCCAGTCGGGGCGTTGCCAGAATGTTGCGACAAACAAACAACAACAGAAACTGTCAATTTCTCTCCCGACTAAACAAACTATACTTGATCATGGGACCTCTCTTGCTGCTCGCCGTTTGGCGTCCTCTGGTTCTTACACAGTTTTGAGACAAGGCTCTGAAAAAAGCTGCCTCTGGTGTGGACCAATACGTTTCAAAGACAATGCATCATATACTACCAGAGCTTTTGTTTTCGATTTAAAGCTTTCGTGACTGCAGGGATTCATCTTCTTGGTTCTTTCCGTAAAGTCACCACGTAGAAGGGAAATAGTAAAATAATAAAAATTAAACATAATACAATAAAACAAAGAGCACGTGTTTTTTTTGTTTGCATGTTCGCCACAAGTATGTGTGGTTTAATGCAGACATGATTCCTTGTTTTATTGCCAGAAAGGGTAAAACCTATCCTCAAACGATACTTCGTCGCTGCAGCCTGTAGCCACCTGCTATGCATGCTGGGTTGCCCATCCAAGCAGGCTTTGTCCGAATATTTCTTCACGCTGGAGGAATCCGATGAGCTATGAAACTGTTTTTCCACGGATGTCCAATACAATACAACAACAAAATAACACCACAGGAGTGCAAAGTCGAGCAAAGGTAAGCGAGCCACTAAATATAAATACGTGCGGTGTCTGAGTACGCATTGCAACGGTACATCAAGTCCCGTCGATTATTTGTCAACAGCTACGAGAAACGATAACGCCATCGGGACCGTCCGTAGTAAGGAGCGCGGGGCGACTTACACTGTGGGCCCTCTTAGACGCCTTCAAACTAAACCAGAAGTAAAACTCCGTCTGACACTGTGACGTCGAAGCGCGTCCCCCCCCCCACCGCCCCCACCCTCCCAAAGCGTGGGGCCCAGGGCAGTCGCTCCGATTCGCCGTGTACTCTCGGGACGGCCTCTGGCCACCACCACCACCACCACAAAGGTGGCTCCGTGACGAGAGACTTTGAACTACAGAGAGGACCACCGTGGCTGTTCCGAGCGCCGCAGAACACACGAAAGGGGGCGGAGGGGGGGGCGGGGGGGGCGGAGGGGAGGGCCCCCACGACCCCAAACCTGCGATGGGGAACGCCGCGCTGATGTGGAGCGGATCGTTTGGCTTCGCGGGCGGAGCGGTTGGCGCGGCGGGTGGCTTCACTGTGGCCCGAAAATCGTCGACCCTGACTTAAGATTCTTTAAATCCCACGGGGGTGTCCGGGATCGGTTTAGACGTCGCCCGTTGACCGACGTGCTACATCTAAACCGGCACTGGGCATCCGCTCATCACTTTGCCAACCCCGGCATTGACCGGAGCGGTGATGTATCGTCAAATAACCCCCATGAACGACACAGCATGAGGGATGGGTGGGTGGGTAGGCATTCATCCAGCAGTGGATTAACAAAGGGCTGCACGTTACTATAATCTGGCCTGAGGTCTGGCTAACGAGATAAACTCTTGTCATTGCGGCACGGCTATTACTGTGCCATGCCGCTGCAGGCGTCATTGCAACGTCTGGGAACGACAGCACGGGGCAACACTAGCACTGGCTGCAGACGGAAAACCACACGTGTTGGGATGTCTGGTACAGAACTCCACGTGCCACTCAACCCGGATCATCGAGTTTCAGTCAAGCAGTGTGGAGTGTGGTGGCACGCGAGTAGCCTGCAGGAGGCTACCGAGGACCTCCTCCATCCATCCGTAATTTCGGGAGGAAATTTAACGCGACCACGGGGAGAGCGACAGAGAGAGAGAGAGAAAACACGCAAACTTCAAATATGCAGCAGGCGTCAGGGTCGGGATCGAACCGACAACCTCCTGTATACCTAGCGAGGTAGATAACATCTCCTAGCATCCGTGATGATCATGATGATGAGAGAGAGACACACAAACTTCAAATATACAGCAGGCGTCAGGCTCGGGATCGAACCGACAACCTCCTGTATACCTAGCGAGGTAGTTAACATCTCCTAGCATCCGTGATGATCATGATGATGAGAGAGAGACACACAAACTTCAAATATACAGCAGGCGTCAGGGTCGGGATCGAACCGACAACCTCCTGTATACCTAGCGAGGTAGTTAACATCTAGCATCCGTGATGATCATGATGATGAGAGAGAGACACACAAACTTCAAATATACAGCAGGCGTCAGGCTCGGGATCGAACCGACAACCTCCTGTATACCTAGCGAGGTAGATAACATCTCCTGGCATCCGTGATGATCATGATGATGAGAGAGAGAGACACACAAACTTCAAATATACAGCAGGCATCAGGGTCGGGATCGAACCGACAACCTCCTGTATACCTAGCGAGGTAGATAACATCTCCTAGCATCCGTGATGATGATGAGAGAGAGACACACAAACTTCAAATATGCAGCAGGCGTCAGGGTCGGGATCGAACCGACAACCTCCTGTATACCAGGCGAGGTAGTTAACATCTCCTAGCCACCGTGATGCCCCACAACACCTCCTCTCTGTCTCTCTCTCTCTCTTACTTGCGTTCATATAATAAAGGTTTTGGGTTAGATCACGTAAATATAAATGTGCCGTTAAACCCGCCACCACCCGACACAGCCAATTAGTAAGGTTTGTCACGTAAACAAAATATGCTCGTTACTTGTACACAATCTAGCTGTCACCTGATGATGCTGGTCATTATTACTGACGAAACGTCGTACTCGAATTGTACATGTTGGGGGTTTACTATCCAACACACCGGTGTTGCTAAGGTAGTAACGAATTGGCATATTTTGTTTACATTACAATCCTTACTAATTGGCCGTGTCGGGTGGTGGCGGGTTTACCGACACATTTACATATATTCACGCGATCTTTCCCAAAAATCTATATTATGGATAATATTGGTCGCGAAAGCCTACGACGTGTTTAGCTTCACAACACCTGGATCGTAAATTTCGATTTAAAGCTTTCGTGACTGCAATGATTCATCTTCTTTGGTTCTTTCGGTAAAGTCACGTAGAATGAGAATAAAATAATAAATTGATAAAATATTATCATTGTGTTATTTTATTTGATCATTTTATTATTTTATTCTCATTCTACGTGACTTTACCGAAAGAACCAAAGAAAACACCTGGATCGGTTCATGTGGTTGGGTCTCAGCCGAGTCACCTATATGCAGCCAAATTTTTTTATCAGTCCACTGCTGGATGACCCCCCCCCACCCTCCCCCATGGCGATGCTAGCCCCGTTAGCTCTCCCCGTACTGATTTTATTTTTCTGTGGGGGTGGACAGAACACTCAGGTGGAGCACACCGCGGTGCTCGGTCGACCTATTTTTTGTTCTTTATACCGCACGGATGCACAATACCGCACAAAAGCGTGCACAGCCAATTACGCTTCACTAAAAGGCATCTTGCCATGAGAGAGAGAGAGAGAGACGCTCCGGACACAGAAAGAGAGAGACAGCAGCTCCAGACAGAGGCTCCAATTAACTTGAAAAGCGTCTCACTGTCCAAACGTGCGTGGGATTGCACTGGTCCATCTTACTACGCCACTGCGATATGTTTGTTTTTATTTGAGCAGGTATAACCCACTGAGCTGTATGGCTTCTTTTTCAGAGGTGACCTGGCCACAAACGACAGCGCAACGAAATGGCTTATCATGCGAAAATTTACAGCTTGCCAAGTACTCTAATCGCGTGTTGATTCTAAACGTGGAGGGAAAACCGAGAGGAGACGGGGAAAAACATTTCCATGCAAATTCCAAATATATAGCAGATCTCCTGTGTACCAGGCGAGGTAGTGACCATCTATATCAGGGGCTAGGGAAATTATACATTCCGATGGTAGGGGGATTGGAATGAAAAGCTGTAGGTATTCGCCGACAGCACTTGCCCCAACGGCGTGGCAAAGGCTACACGGGTAGCTTTGTCTTTGTGCGTACCCTGGTGATGGCGTGTGCCACCGCCATGCCCATCATCTCGACGAGCTGCTCTTGCGTGAAGCCGTAGTCTTCTCTCAGCTCCTTGTCGATCGCCAGCGCCTCTTCCCGGCTGAAGCACACATGCACGCATGCACACACCACACACGCACACATGCACACACCACACACGGACAAAGATAAAGATCCCCCGTATAGCCCTTTAACAGTAGGTTGGGGGCGGGGGGGGGGTGAAAGTGCTGTTAGTGAGTAGCACCTATGAAGGCCGGCACGGCACGCGAGGGGGTTGGTGGCCAACTCCACACACACACACAAACTGGCAAGACAAATATCCCCGTATAGCGTTAACAGACTGTTGGGGCAAGTGCTGTTAGCAGACACACACAGTTTAACACGTAGAGCTTTCGCGACCAATATTATTCATAATAAAGTTTTTTTGGGTTAGATCGCGTTATTTATAAATGCGTCGTAACCCTCCACCACCCGACACGGCCAAACAGTAAAAAAAAGTGTCATGTTGACAAAAGACAATTAGTTCACTACTTTAGCCCACCGGTGTGTTGAAGAGTGAATCCACAACATTTAAAGTTTGAGTACGACGTTTCGCTGGTAATTACATACACACAGGCAGGCACCAGCACCTACGAGTGCCGGCACAGCGCACGAGTACAGGCGGACCCAGGACAGGTTCGGGATATCACTCGCCGCTTGTGTTGTTAGCCATGGTCGGGAATTGAACTCGGGTGGTTGGGTTGGCCGCTCTTGAATACAAAAACAACAATTGGAGACGTCCCTCTTCAAATGTTCTCGAGGGGGAGGGGGGGGGGGGCGCGCTAGAGAGCTGTCCAGTCTCGACTCTCGACTTCTGGGTCTGCGCTTCCACGCTAACGAGACGTCTTGGAATAGATGGCAGTAAGCCACACTTTGCCCCAGCGCACGCGACCGGAGACTAAGAGGCAAGGGTGGGGGTAGAGCCGTCCATGGTGGGGGGGGGGGGGGTGTGGGGCCCCTCCCCCCACTCTGTAGGCCCCCCATTAGCCCCCCCCCGATGCCTTCAAACCGAATCGTAAGTATTACATATGCCACCGCGACGCAGGAACGCGGGGTCCCCCAACGCGCGGGGCCCCGGGCAGTCGCCCTGATTCGTCGCACCTTGGGGACGGCCTCTGTTTGGGATGGTAGGGTGGGGGGGGGGGGCTGTGGGGGTAGGGGGGGGGGCTGTGGGGGAGGGGGTCGGTTCATGAACTCGACCCATTGTTGCAAATGCCGCGCCGAGAGACTGAATGGAGGCGGCGGCGTCGTCTGGATTGGGAGCGCCAGCAACGAGGCGCCGTGAAACGACGCGCGACCGTGGTGGCATCGGCGCTCCGGGCAACGCGTTCCAAACGCAGGAGAGAGCAGATGATGTAGGTGGGGTCTCGGTGATGGCCATGCACATGATGATGATGATGACGACGTTGTTTCTTGATTTGAAGCTTTCGTGGCTGCAGGAATCCATACTCTGTGGTTCTTTCGGTAAAGTCACGAAGGTATGAATAAACTGAAATAAAACAAATCGCGACGTTTCGGGCGCAACACTCAGCATCGGGTCATCAGGTGGGACAACCACAGCAAGAAAAAAAAACAGCTCTCTCAACCACTTCAGCAATTGTCTCTTGCTGTGGTTTTCCCACCTGATGACGGACGTTGCGCCCGAAACGTCGTGATTTGTTTTATTTTAGTTATTTATACCTACGAAAGAACCAAAGAGTATGATTTTGATTTAAAGCTTTCGTGACTGCAGTGATTCATATTCTTGGTTCTTTCGGTAAAGTCACGTAGAAGGAAAACGTCGTGAGAATTTTATTGTTTTATATATTGTATTATTTTATTGTTTCCCTTCAACGTGACTTTACCGAAAGAACCAAGAATACAAAGAGTATGATGTTGTTTGTTGCGGATTTTATTTTCTTTCTCTGGGTTTTTTTTGTCCCCCCCCCGCCGCCCCCCAATGTTTTAGAAACACGCCTTGAGATGATTTCGATCGTTTTGCTGCCGTAAATGTCCACGTGATGATAAGCCGCTTTGTTGAGCTATCGTTTGTGGCCAGGTAGCCTCTGGAAAATAAGTTAATATCGTCAGTGGGCTTTACCTGGTAAGATGGGGGAAAAAAAGTCAGCGTTACACGTAGCAGGATTTCGCGACCAATATTATTCACAATAAAGGTTTTTGGGTTAGATCGCGTAAGTATTAAAAAAAATGTTTTATTTGTATCTTTTAAAGTGATTTGTTTACCTTTCCTATAACGTTGCATTCATGTCGTGTTTTTTTTAAAATATATTGTTTGTTGTTGTAACGTTCTGACCCGCCCCCAAATCGGAACGCCGGTGAAAAACCAAAGAGCTTCGTAGCTAAATCGGATTCCTCCAGTATAAATATTCCCATCCTGTTGTGGTTTGTTTTTTTCCTCGACCTGTTTCGCGTCGGTTTAATTTTGTAGTCCGTGTAAATTCACTGTAGCGCGACCTCCCCATCCATAACCAAATACGACGAGCAATAAACACATCACACGCGAACCTTTTAGAGCGAGCGAAACAAAGGGTGCAAGTGGGAGGTCGGGTGCGAAAATGATCGCGTGGCGATGATGGAAATGAACCGACCACTGACCTCCCACGTCGCTCACGCAGGGGACGCGATCGCAGTCGCCTCTCGTTGCATTCCATTTTTAACGTTGACCCCCACCCCCATTCCACCTAAAGCCCCCCCCCTCCCCCACATTTTATTTTACCACAACCAGCACCATCGCGCTCCATCGCAGTGGGGGGGGGGGGGGAGTGGGGGGGGGAAGGTCAAAGATTCCCCCCACCCCCGTGTAACCTTAACAGACTGTTGGGGCAAGTGCTGTTAGCGAGCAGCACCTGTGAAGGCCGGAGGAACGGTACACGATGGAGTGGGTGGGCCAGCACCACGCCCGACCGCCTTTGTCTCCACAGTGGCGATGCTTACCGGTTAAAGCCCACTGACAGCACCACGCCTGACCGCCTTTGTCTCCCCAGTGGCGATGCTTACCGGTTAAAGCCCACTAACAGCACCACGCCCGACCGTCTTTGTCTCCCCAGTGGCGATGCTTACCGGTTAAAGCCCACTGACAGCACCACGCCCGACCGCCTTTGTCTCCCCAGTGGCGATGCTTACCAGTTAAAGCCCACTAACAGCACCACGCCCGACCGTCTTTGTCTCCCCAGTGGCGATGCTTACCGGTTAAAGCCCACTGACAGCACCACGCCCGACCGCCTTTGTCTCCCCAGTGGCGATGCTTGCACAGCGGTACTCATTTGAGGCCGAGCCGACCTAGGAGAGGCCCTAGGACCGATTCAGATAATCGTCACCGGTGTTGGCCGTGAGCGGGAATCGAACTCGGGTGGGTGGGGTTCGAAGCGTGGCACGCTCACCGCTGCACCACCGCTCCTCACGTGTGCATCAACATTGCCCTCCCTGAGTTTCATGCAAAATTCGACAATAACAACAAAATGTCTCTTCTTGATATTTCTGCTTGCCGACCCCCCCCCCCCTGCTCCATCCACATCTCAACGTTCAATCTCGGGGGGGCGGGGAGGCCAGCGGTGTGGAGATGAGAGGGGATAAGGGCGGGGGGGGGGGCTCTGGGGATTGGGAGGGTGGGGTGGCTGTGGGGGGGGGGCCTCTGAACCGTGGACGGAAATGTGAATAAAAACTAATTTACTTGGCGTGTGTTTCACGAGTGGCGCGACGCGCTCGGAGGCCGAGGGAGAGAGAGGGGGTGAGAAGGAGAGGGGGAGAGAGAGAGGGGGAGAGAGGGGGAGAGAGTGGGAGAGAAAAATACGTATTTTTTTTTCATTTAAAAAGGGCGGGGGGGAAGCATATAAAGCAAAACAATGCAAAAAAAACTGAAATGATGAACGAAGCAAAGTGCCTGACTAAACCGAGCATCTTCTTGTTTCCTCTGATCGTAAAAAAAGAAGAGAGGGGGAGAGAGGGGATAGTGAGAGAGGGAGGGAGAGAGAGAGGGAGAGAGAGGGAAAGCAACGGCACTTGGCAAGGGACGCGTGGCCTCTGAGACTGAAGGGAACCCAGGGGAGGAAGGGGGAGCGCAAAGACAAAGGTGCCCCGTGTAGCCGCCTTCAACACACTGTTGGGGGCAAGGCAAGTGCTGTTAGCGAACAGCATCTATGAAGGCCGGCAGGGCCACACGCGGGGATAGGTGGCCTGCACCAAAGACAAAGATACCCCCCGTGTAGCCTTCACCGACTGTTGGGGCAAGTGCTGTTAGCGAGCAGCACCTGTGAAGTATGGAACGGCCACACACGCCCGGCCACCTTTGTCTCCCTAGTTGCGATGTTTACGCTCCACTCCAGGTACTCATTTTGAGGCTGAGTCGACCTAGGTGAGGCACAGGACCGGTTAAAATATTCGCCACTGGGAAGCGAACTCAGATGGCTGGGCTTGTCGCGCAGTGCGCTAACCACTGCACCACAATCACACCACACATACACGAAACACACACAGCACACACACCACACACACATACACCCCGCACACACACCACACGTACACCACACACACACAGCACACACACCACACACACAATACCCCCACACACACAGCACACATACACCACACACACACAGCACACACACCATACACACATACACCCCCCACACACACCACACAGACCACACACACACGCACACACACACATACACCCCCACACACACACCACACATACACCACACACACACAGCACACACACCACACACACAATACCCCCACACACACAGCACACATACACCACACACACACAGCACACACACCATACACACATACACCCCCCACACAGACCACACACACACCACACAGACCACACACACACGCACACACACACACATACACCCCACACACACGCACACACCACACACACCACACACACATACACCCCACACACACGCACACACCACACCACACACACACACACATACACACCCCACACATTCAACCCACACACACCACACACATACACCCCACACACCACACACATACATCCCACACACCACACACATCACACTACACCCTACACACATACACCACATACACACA